GGGGCTTTGAGTAGTACTCCAAATTTGGATGAATGGATATGGATTTTAGGCTGTAATGTGTATTGATCCAAGTTTTGGGAAAATTAGATTATGCCATTACAACTTTAAATGCCATCATATAGATTTTCAAACCTTCTCTTCTCCTTCCTCCCTCCCTCACTCCTTTCCTAACAGTGACCTGCAACCGTACTGGCCAGCGACGTCCTCCACTCCCGTCCCCCTCAGCAAGTGTGTCTTGCCTGCCGCTGGTGCCGTCCTTGTGTTGTCCATCTTCCTCTGTCCCTTGCACCTACCATCTTGCCTCCATGGATGGGTCCCCTCCTAAGCTTCGATTCCTCAGGCTGTCTGCAGCTCTTCGCAGCATCCTCTGCCCTCCCATGACTGCATGGAATCCATCGGGAAGCTCCATTTTGAAGACCGCCTCAAATTCCTGCTGCCTTATCTAGAGGAGATGGGGTCCATGGCTGTTTTACTGAATCCAGCAGCAAGCTCCATCTCAATATTCCCCTCAGCCTCCCGTTGCCGGCTCACTGTCGGATTTAGAGGAGATGGGAGCCACAGAGCAACCATATGCGGATGAGATGTGGATCACAGAATGCGTTCGGATGGCCTTGGATGGTAATTCTGATCTCTGGGAAGAAATTGTGATGGGGATCCCATGCTCAGGCTGTGGCATTGAGGTCGAATCCATGTGGCAAAGAAAGGCAAGGAAGAGAGGTGAGAGAGGGAGGAAGAGACTGTGCTGCCATGGTTGAGGAAAATGAGGTCAGTGGAGGGAGGAGAAGAGCAAGGAAGAAGGCATGGGCATTTTGGTCTGAAATTTTGCATAATGGCATTTCCAGGAGTATTGCAACGCTGTAGTGTCATTTTTCTAAAGAGTAAAATAGTGATTGCATTTCTCTGAATCGCCAAAGTTGCAATGGCATATATCTAAGTTTCCCAATTTACCCGCTTTATGCCCGAGTGCTACTGATCAGGAACCAACGTTCCACACTGTTCTGAGATGTGAACTAGTATGCTTGCAGTACTATATAAAGAACAGTTTGATTCATACAGCCTAAATAAAATCGTTCTGAACAATCATTTTTTTGCTTGTTGCTGTATAGGGAGAAGATTCACTGGTGATTTGGTTTAGTTGCTGTCACGAATGTTGTGCACAGCGACATGCCCTGATGCTGTTCCAGATTGCATACTGGTGAGTACCCCTCACCCAATTTGACTACCAATTTTGTTTTTATGCATTTTTTCTTTCTCAAACTTAGATATTTACTAGTACATGAGATGCTAGATGAACGTCTTAGACGCTAGTATATAAAATTACAGCTACATCGTGACAAGATTTCAGTTCCTAATCTCTGCTTGTGGAAACAAAAAGAGATATTTGTGCTTGCCTTTTTAGCACAAACATATCTTTATTGTATAAATCAGACCCTTTTCTCACCAATACAATATTCTTCCTAATACAGACATTTCAAGGTTACATATTTTTAGCGCACAACCTTTTCATATATATAGAATAAAATAGGTGGCCTTGTTCACTTTCTCATTCTTCGACCACTAGAATGCATCACTGTTCTCTAGTAGGTCAGCAAATTTGCAGCCGTGCAGTGAACCAACCAATGGAAACGAGAGCTGGTTTGCTTTGACATCTGAGACCCCACGCGGAAGCTTAGCTAGACATCCATCCAACTATAATAAACTAGTAGTATCACCTCTTGGTCCTTGCGTGATAGATTGGTTTATGCCCCCCCACCGCTTCTCTGTGACCACAAACAACTTCCTTTCTGCCAACCGCCATTGCAAGTTGCTATAATTGGCTGTACTTACACGTGCTTCTGGTCTGGTCATCATCTACCTTAACAAGGCAAAAGGGGACGAGGAGGAGGATTGGGGTGAGGAGACGGAGGAGGGGCTCACGGGGCAAGGAGGAGGAGGAGGGGCTGATCCGTCAGGCATGGGCATCGCCGGCCTCCCTTCTGACATCCTCGTGGAGGTGACTGCCAGAATCGCCGGGGAGTCAACGACGCCCCTCGACGACATCGTCAGCCTCAGGCGATCGTAAGTGACCAATTAATTGTTCCTTTCCTTTCTGATGTTCGCGTGTGATTGTGAAATGATGCAAGGTGCTACATCATGCGCATGTATCTCTTCAGATGCAAGGTGTTCCGCGACGCGACGGCGGCGAGGGAGGTGGGCCGGTGCATGGCGGTGGACAGGGAGTGGCGTCTGCACTGGTGGGACAAGGAGAGGTTCCTCTCGGTGCTCGGGGAGTGCGCGGCCACCGGCAACCCCGAAGCATCCTACATCCTCGGCCTGGTAATGTCTGAAGCACGGATACCCATCTTGCAGAATCGCATCATGTTCAGTTTGTTCACTTGCTAACCAACCCAGCTGCTACAATTCTGACATTTTCTTCCTTCGCCAGGAGGAGATCTGCAACCGTAGGGGAAAGGAGAGCGGGCTCCAGCACCTCCACCGTGCCATGAAGCACGGCCATGCCGTTGCGGCCTACACCATCGGCATGATTATGCTGCGCGACGCGTACAATCCCGAAGGTATCGAGGAGGCAATGGGATATCTGGAGGGATGCTCTGCAGCAAGAACAAAGAGCAAGATCAAGATTGCCTCCGTTCGCAGAGAGGCCGCTTCGGTCATGAGAAGGCTGACGATGCGCCGCTGGAGGACGGCCGAGCCTGCTGCGCCCTGCGCCGACCCGCGGTGCGGGGAGATGGAGACGGCGGAGGCCTGGGACGAGGACGACGAACAGAGGAGGTTCTGCAGCCGGCTGTGCAGATGGAAACATGAATACCGCAAATTTGTGCAGAGGATTTAACGTTTTGATTCATTAGTAGGCTGTCGGCCACTGTGCCGGCAGTAAAAGTTGTGAGACACAATTTCAGATTTATCACTTTATGCTTCTCCAATTCTAGATCTGCCATCCCAATTTTTCTCATTCCTATTAAAGCTGGCTTAGGCACTTTGCCATCCCCGGTGGTTAGGTAGTGATATTTTCTTGTGGGTCACTGGCTTGCGTGTATCTTTTTGGGGCTGCGATATGCTTGTATTTTGTGACATCAGTGCTTTTATTTCGGCCATTTTTGTGAAAACTGTCAAATTCCTGCCCCAACTCATTGTAGTGTCTCGAAGAGAACTTTTAGGTCAGTTTTTCATATTTTTCAGCGGTTTGTGTCAATGAAAATGGGGTGGAGGTTATGAACCTCCCCACGAGTGTATCATGGAGCGTGAACTAGTCATTTACTCCCTCCATTCCTAAATATAAGTCAATTTCAATATAAACTACACACGGGTATATATAAACGTATATTAGTGTAGATTCATTTATTTTGCTTTGTATGTAGTTCATGTTGTAATCTCTAAAAGGACTTATATTTAAGAACGGAGGAAGTACTTAACAACAGCGAAATGCCTTGCCACGGGATAACAAAAGATATTTATAGGCACACTAACATACACGGGATAACAAAAAGTATTTATAGACACACTAACGTAAAAGATGGGCGATGACGTAGTGGGAATGTATCCGGTGCACCCACACTTGTGGTGCTACCGGTGCACCGGATGCTATATAATATTTTTTAAAATCTGAATAAATTCTAGCATGTTAACGCAATATCAATGTATGATGTCACAAAAAATCGTATACAAATTCAAAATATTTTTTGAGATACAAAAATGATAAATTTGGCATCAGTGTGAAAATGGGCCAAATCTAAAGCCCAAGATAATGTTATGTACTATTCAGTGTTGAATTTTTCATTATTGTTTTTCAAGTTATGTTTCAAATTTTGATTTGAAATGTTGTGACAACCTACATTGATGTTGTGTGAGTGTACTATTTTTTGCAGAATTTTTTGAACGTTTTAAAAGCACAATGTGAGTTCGGTGCATCGGTAGCACCACAAGCTCCGGTGCACCAGATATTTTCCCATGATGTAGTAGATGCGGGAGGATCAGAGGCGGGCGTCAACTGGGATGAAAATCTAACCCGTCTCCATGTTCTTTTTCTCCTCGGCATTTGTTGCGTCTCCTTAACAACCATCTCCTTGCTAGAAAACAAAGAGGCATTTTTCTCCCCCGTTCCTCCATTCCTCCACTTCTATTCTCATGTAGTACCATGGGGGTTGCTCGAAAACAACAAATGCATAAATACTACTCCCTCCGTTCCAAAATAGATAACCCAACTTTGTATTAAAGTTAGTATAAAGTTGGGTCATCTATTTTGAAACGGAGGGAGTATATATCAAATGGTTAGCGACATACTCTGGCTCTGTTTGTCTTGTCGTCTCCCTCGTCTTCTGATGCCACAAGTTCACCTCCTAACCTCTACTCCTCTCTATCTTCTTCGTAGTCAATAAAATGCAACTCAAGATGGCGATGTCACTCTTCGCCCTCTTGGCATCTCATATGCTCTCGCCAAGCACCCAAGCATGCATCCAACAAGGTGCTAAAAATCATCTCGCACTCAAGACGCTTTTGGTCTCCTAATGTGGCCAATACCATCATAAAAATGGAAACCATCGTTGACCTCACATGTCTGCCTTTTGTTTGGGTGTTGCTTTTTGCCTCACAAACTAATATGCTCCTAGATGAATAGTAAAATCAGATAGATTAAAAACTAATTTAAAATGTGTTTGTATGCTATATCTACATGCACAGTTACATGATTGAATGACATGTAGAATTAGGTAGATTAAAAAGCTCTTTGATTTTCCCTTTGCCCCAATCATCCTGCTAGAATAAGATGGTACTGCCCTTCCCTATGATTCCTTTAGCCACCTGTTTGAATTCATGTATTAGCCTGGAGATGTTGTTCCACCCAAACGATCCCACTGGTTTGTCTGTGACAAGTCCTTCAGTTTAGTAGGAATTCCATATAAACTTCACCCAAGGTAGATTTTCACAATTGTTTTTTTTTGCGTAGATGTTCCATTAGGAGACACTTATTGTGACTTGCAAGATCTAAAACTACCAGCCCTCCTAGGTCTTTGGGGAGGCAAACTTCGTCTAAGGTAATGAGAGTAGAGTCTCTGTCCTCCATTCCATACTTTATCCAAAAACAATGCCTTAAATATTTATTTATTTGCTCGAAGACCCCAGTAGGCAAAACCAAAGTGCTGATGAAAAAAAAGGTAGACTACAAAACACATATTTGATAAGGATCATCTTGTCTCCATATGATAGCAAAGTGTAGTAGCTAGCCAACCTTTTGCCAATTCTTTTCAAAACGGAGATAAAATCTTCCGTTTTTTTGGTTTGGTCAGACTCAGTGGGAGGCCCAAGAAAGAAGATCATGTCCATCCACATGAGCCATCTAGGTCCAAACCCTCTAGAATTTAAGTCTCCTTGGTGTTGGGGAACGTTGCAGAAAATTAAATTTTTTCCTACGGTTTCACCAAGATCCATCTATGAGTTCATCTAAGCAACGAGTCATGGGAGAGAGATTGCATCTACATACCACTTTGTAGATCGCGTGCGGAAGCGTTCAAGAGAACGGTGATGATGGAGTCGTACTCGCCGTGATTCAAATCACCGATGACCAAGTACCGAACGGACAGCACCTCCGCATTCAACACACGTACGGAACGGACGACGTCTCCTCCTTCTTGATTCAGCAAGGGGGAAGGAGAGGTTGAGGAAGAAGGCTCCAGCAGCAACACGACGGCGTGGTGTTGGTGGAGAGGCAGTACTCCGACAGGGCTTCGCCAAGCACTCAACGGAGGAGGAGAGGTGTTGGGGAGGGGAGGGGCTGCGCCTTGGATCAGGTGTTCAGCCCTCCCCTCGCCCCTCTATTTATAGGGGAAGGGGAAGGGGGACGGCCCCCTCTAGATGAGATCTAGAGGGGGGGGGGTGGCGGCCAGGGAGGGGGGCTTGCCCCCCAAGCAAGGGGGGCGCCCCCACTAGGGTTCCCCCCAACCCTAGGCGCATGGGCCCAAGGGGGGGGGGGCGCCCAGCCCACCAGGGGCTGGTTCCCTGCCCCTTGCGGCCCATGTGGCCCTCCGAGAGGAGTGGACCCTCCCGGTGGACCCCCCGGAATCCCTCCGGTGGCCCCGGTACAATACCGGTATGCCCCCGAAACTTTCCGGTGTCCGCATGACAACTTCCCATATATAAATCTTCACCTTCGGACCATTCTGTCAATAACCAACAACGGGATCTGGATACCCATGTTGGCTCCCACATGCTCCTCGATGATGTCATCGAATGAACCACAATGTCGAGGATTCAATCAACCCTGTGTACTATTCCCTTTGTCAGACGGTACGTTACTTGCCCGAGATTCGATCGTCGGTATCCCAATACCTCGTTCAGTCTCGTTACCGGCAAGTCACTTTACTCGTACCGTAATGCATGATCCCGTGACCAGACACTTGGTCACTTTGAGCTCATTATGATGATGCACTACCGAGTGGGCCCAGTGATACCTCTCCGTCATACGGAGTGACAAATCCCAGTCTCGATCCGTGTCAACCCAACAGACACTTTCGGAGATACCTGTAGTGCACCTTTATAGCCACCCAGTTACGTTGTGACGTTTGGTACACCCAAAGCACTCCTACGGCATCCGGGAGTTACACGATCTCATGGTCTAAGGAAGAGACACTTGACATTTGGAAAAGCTATAGCAAAACGAACTACACGATCTTGTGCTATGCTTAGGATTGGGTCTTGTCCATCACATTATTCTCCTAATGATGTGATCCCGTTGTCAACGACATCTAATGTCCATAGTCAGGAAACCATGACTATCTGTTGACCAACGAGCTAGTCAACTAGAGGCTTACTAGGGACGTATTGTGGTCTATGTATTCACACATGTATTACGATTTCCGGATAATACAATTATAGCATGAATAAAAGACAATTATCATGAACAAGGAAATGTAATAATAATCCTTTTATTATTGCCGCTAGGGCATATTTCCAATAGTCTCCCACTTGCACTAGAGTCAATAATCTAGTTACATTATGATGAATCGAACACCCATAGAGTTCTGGTGTTGATCATGTTTTGCTTGTGGAAGAGGTTTAGTGAACAGATCCCCGACATTCAGATCCATATGTACTTTGCAAATTTCTATGTCTCCATCTTGAACATTTTCATGGATGGAGTTGAAATGACGCTTGATGTGCCTGGTCTTCTTGTGAAACCTGGGCTCCTTGGCAAGGGCAATAGCTCCAGTGTTATCACAGAAGAGTTTGATCGGCCCCGACGCATTGGGTATGACTCCTAGGTCGGTGATGAACTCCTTCACCCATATTGCTTCATGTGCTGCCTCTGAGGCTGCCATGTACTCCGCTTCACATGTAGATCCCGCCATGACGCTCTGCTTGCAGCTGCACCAGCTTACTGCTCCACCATTCAACATATACACGTATCCGGTTTGTGACTTAGAGTCATCCAGATCTGTGTCGAAGCTAGCGTCGATGTAACCCTCTACGACGAGCTCTTCGTCACCTCCATAAATGAGAAACATGTCCTTTGTCCTTTTCAGGTACTTTAGGATATTCTTGACCGCTATCCAGTGTTCCTTGCCGGGATTACTTTGGTACCTTCCTACCAAACTTACGGCAAGGTTTACATCAGGTCTGGCACACAGCATGTCATATATAATATATCCTATGGCTGAGGCATAGGGGATGACACTCATCTCTTCTTTATCTTTTGTCGTGGTCGAACATTGAGCCGTGCTCAATTTCACACCTTGCAATACAGGCAAGAACCCTTTCTTGGACTGATCCATTTTGAACTTCTTCAAAATCTTATCAAGGTATGTGCTTTGTGAAAGACCTATGAGGCGTCTCGATCTATCC